ATTAGATTTAAGGGGGTTATTCTTAAGTAAGTGTACATAGGATTGTGACTTCAATCATCATTTTATTATTATAAGACAGTTTTCTCCAGTCTGGAACCATCCAGAAGTTTTGGATAACAAGTCCCAGCATTCCTGAGCACTGGCCATGCTGGTTGTGGCTTATATTATTCCTTTCAAGGGATTCAAGGCAGCTTACATAATTCTCCTTCTTTCAGTGTTATCCTCACAACAACTCTATGAGGTAGGCTGGGCTGAGTGCCTGTAACTGGCCCAAAGACACCCAGTTAGCTCTGTAGCGGAGTGGGGACTAGAACCCATATTTCCTGAGTCCCAGACTTGCGCTCTTAACCACTATACCACATTGGCTGATGGGAGATGAAGCCCAAAATATCTGGAAGGCACCAGGTTTGGGAAGGCTGGTCTAGTGCATTCCAGTTCTGTATTGATAGTACTCAGAACAAATATTAGGTCTGAGGTATCATCTTGTTGAAGAAAGCCTTGTGGACTGAAATGTCAGTTCATTTATATAAGTCTCAGAAGTGTTGCTAATATTACTCAGCTACAATAGTTTCAATCTCAAAGTTTAAAAAAATAAATAGGGGAAGGGAGAGAACCAAATTCTGTATAGTATAATGCTGGACCAGGACTTACGGAATTTGGGGTCTAGCTAATTCAGCCATGAATTTCACTTGGTGAATTGCGCCAGTTGCTGACTTTAAGCCTAACCTTTCTCTCAGGGTTGTTGTGAGCACAAAAATGGACAAAAGGAAGACCATAAAGACTGTTGTGAGTTCCATACAAGAGAGAGAGAAAATGCAGTGGATATACATGTAATAATGAATCTCACTGTTACCAAAAAAATATATATATATATATCTGAGGGGAAATCCCACAGCTGAGTACAAGGCAGGAAGAGCTTGTGAATAGCTAGAAAAATAATTTATTATTGAGAAGTATTAAACATGAAATAAAAATGATCTTTTTCAGTTAACTCCTAGGGAGAAAAATAAATGTAAGATACAGAGCTTACTTTCAAAAACTTTGTAAAATTCTTAACTGAAAAGTTATTTTATCCTTACATTTCTTTTAATGCAGATTGCAAAAGCATCAAAGAGACGTCTGCATGCTGGCTTGGCCTACTCAGAGAGTCATCACATTCGAATTTCCAGACAAGATTTCAAACTGTTACGGACTCTATTTATACTGATGATTTCTTTCTTTGTAATGTGGAGCCCAATAATCATTACCATTCTCCTCATTTTAGTACAGAAGTTCAAACCAGATGTAAACATTTTGCCTTCTTTTTTCTTCTGGATAATGGTCTTCACATTCGCTAATTCAGTTGTCAATCCAGTTCTGTATAATGCAGCCAAATTCAGACGAAAGTGGAGGAAAATCTTCTTCTGTTGCCCTAGTTCTCTGCAGGGGACAGAGGCTGGGACAGACACTACTCTGAGGCAACAGGATCACAGGCATTTCAATGTTTCTGTTATTTCTAGATAACTATGTGGTGTTCCTGATAAAGATAATCTCACTGGCTTTTTTCGAGCTGTGTGCTAAAGTAAGCAGTTGGGAAAGCAAAAAATAAAAAAAATAAATTGAAAACTTACTGGGCAAACCTTGTACTGAATATTGTAGTACTGGGAAGGAAGAAAATGACTGTTTTACTCTTTCATAGTAAGATGCCAGGGACACTGAAGGGGATGGTGATAAACTAAGGTTAAAACAGTGTAATTGAATGTTAACAGTGAGCCAAGGGGCAGTGCAAGGACAGACAAGCAGTCAGACAGACAGACAGAGCACGCCCAAATGTTCATATGTACATGTCAGCTGCAGGATTACTCTTCCCTTCAAATGGTAGCACTTTTTGAGCATGTATCTGTGTGTTTTCCTCTCATATTCCATGTTGGCTCCAAGTTTTTGAGGGCTCTTGGGCATCACCCCCTGAGTGGATGACCTCCTTGAGTCTGCCTTCTCATCACCATCAGTACTAGCTGCTTTTGCTCCTGACCCTCTGTCTCATTGTTGCTACCATTTGCTTGCTCGATATGCAGAGAGCCAGCGAGCCAGTGGGCAGAGACATGCAACATCCGCCATGTGGTATCAGAGATGGGTAAACCTGGAGGACCAACTCCAACAGGCTCCTTTTCTGGATATGTGCCTAGTGTACAAAAAAGTGTAGGAACAAGGTTTACTTTGCAGAGCAATCCTGTTGCCAGTGCAAATAGACATAGAGGCACACACCAGGATGGTGCTTGCAGGTGCCCAGCAGGTAGTCAACCCAGGCAGTGTAGGTAAATGCACTTGGAACTTTTCCTGGCCACCCCTTCTTCCAACCAACAGATGAGCACAGAGACACAGGCTGAGAGTACATGGTGCAGAAACTTCAGTGAAACAGAGCAGGACTGGATCTGATCAGAGCCTGGATGAGTGATTGTCTAGGACCACTTGCACTCTGTCTAGAATTTCATGGAAGAAAAGCACAATATAAACCCAATAAATAATACTAAAATATTTATTAGGTGAGAATTGGATATACAGTCTCCCACTATGTTTTTGGTTCATGGTGTGAAGCTGCAGTGCCGTGCACTTATTTGGCAAAAATGCCCCACTCATATCTATGATTTTATTCCAGAATAAAAATGTAGATGATCAGCCTATAAGTTAAGGGATATAGATATAGTTTTGTATAATTTTTAAAAACAATCTTCAGATGGATAAAAAATGTAATAAACATTTTGTGGTGCTACCTCTTCTTTCCTAAAGCAGAGATCACCAATTGGTAGCCTGCAAAGTAAAATTTCCCCAAACTGGTGGCCTGCAAGGGAAAAGTGACCCCAAATTGGTAGCCTACAGGCTGAAAGTGGTTGCAAATGTAATTTTATCAACATTCTGGCTACTGTATGAAGTGTTAATCAAATTATGATTTAAAAGTCTTGTTTGCAGTTTCATTCATAAAACAGTATGCGTTCAAGAGGTAAGAAGCAGATATTCCATAGCCTAACATTCCATTTCTCTTTTTGATTTTTGATATTTATGTGTAATTCTGAGCATTACCTGCACACATATACTTTATGATGACTGCCAGTATGCATAGTGCCTAGAAAATGGAGCTGGAACCAGGGAGACCCAAATTCAGACCCCCCACTCAGTCATGAAGCTTACTGGGAAAGCTTGGGTCAGTTACTGGCAGTCACTACCTCACAGGGTTGTGAGGAGAAAAAGGTGAGGGAGAGCTGCACGTGGCAAGAGGAAAGGGAGAGGTATAAACATAATTCATAGAATAATAAATAAAGACTTTGGCACTGACTTCATTTTTCAATAGAACACAAAGATAGTGCAAACCAGTAAAAAATGTAAACCATACTGAATATCATTTGAAACCATCCCCCATCCCCTATTCAATATAATATATATAGTGGGCATTTCCAACATGCAACCAATTCCTTTTCCTATTTATTCAGACATTTGTTTGACTAGGCTTAAGCCTGGCTGTTCTGGTTATAATGGGCCCGCCTGGTCAGAAGAAAATGGCTCTCAGACAGTTGCAGCTGCCTTCATGATTTGTGGATACACCTTATACAGAGAGCATCTTGGAGTGATCAACACAGAGTATGCACTTTGTCATCACGAGGCACTGTCTGTGTCCATTGGCATGGGGCAAGCAGCATGACCACTGGGCATGTTGCTCTTGAGTAAGTGAGTTGGTGCTACTGTGACAGCATTTGTGGTTCACTTATGAAATTTCAAGCCACTGCTTGGTGGTGGTGGTGATGAGGGGGATTTTAAGAGGACTGCATTAAAATGTCCTGTTGAAAAAGCAAGCAACAAAATATTTTGCACTATGTGTTTATTTTTAAGCAAACCTCTAATCCTGGGATTGGTAGCTTGGAAAAACTGTACCTCCCTCGTTCTGCCCCCAATACAAAATAAGTAGGGATTACTGTGTCACTGCAATTTGGATTTGTAATCTAAACAATTTTTTGCTTATACAATAAACTAATGATTTAATATGTTTGCAGCACAAGCAATACACAGTTCCATGAATCTCCATTTATTAAATTACACTTGCAGAGTAAATAGCACAGTTCAAATGGATAGCTAGCTACTCAGTATCTAAGGGAATCTTTTTGAAGAACTCTCCACAAAGCAAGTTATATACTTTACAGCTATAGAATGGTTCCCATCGAATATGTTCTCCTCAAGGGCAGCTTCCTAAAAGAAAACAGAAGAGGTAAGCTCTGATAAAAGTTCTAAGTTTGCATTAGAAAAATGAGGCAAAGAACTACCTGGTTACAACCAATGTGTGAAATTATATATCGGTTTATTCTTCCCATGGTAAGCAATGTTACCAGTGACCTTGGCTCTTTGGTCTCATTGTTATTATATTAGAGTCGCTAAGTGACAATGTTGCAATGACAGTAAAAGGCAGAACTGGCGGAATTCTTAAAAGAGGGCCCAGATCAGCAGAGGACATCACACTGCCAGTGGAAGTGATGCTGTGACATGCAAACAGGTCATAGAAACAACACTGAATAATGGCATGTACTGAATTTCTCAAAACTGGTGGCTATTTTTAGAAATCGTTCCAGTCTTATTTCTTGTAATTTATTTTAGATTTTAAATTATAGTATTTAAATCCTTTGATTACACAGCTAAGGACTGAACAATTGTTAATGCAATCTATTGTATTCAACAGGAGATTTAAAATGCAACTTCAAATACTTCAAATAATTATTTAGATGCACTAAAACACCAACCTCATTTCCTGGTATGTACTCATTTATGTAGTGTCAGATTTCTGAATTCAACAAGGATGATTAAAACAACAAAAACCCTGAGTTGATTCTGGTTGTGCTATGTTGTTATTGTTCTCCTGTTAACAGAACAGCTACTAGCTGCACTTTACATCCTTCTCATAGTGTTCCAGCTACTCTGTATTAAGCACAGCAAGAAATAAGATGGCATGAGGAACAGGGAGCCTACAGCCAGGAGGACCAGCCAGATCCAGACATGGCATTGCAGGATTTGGAGTCTTTTGTTAAGCAGCGCCTCTCTATATAAAAGTTCCCCAGCAGTACTGGAATTATTTATTTAACCAGTCTAGACTGCTTGAACATATCTAAAAGATCTCTCAAAGTGGTTTACAGCATAAATTTACAAAATAATAATAATAATAAAAAATCCTCAGAGTTAAAACATTTAAAAACAAAAATACAAAACATCCCTTTTAAAATCTATGTGAAATCAAACACACCCCCAAGTAAAATATTACAGTAAGAGCCAACAACCAAACTGGGCCGCAGAGTCAGTGCAAGCCTTACTGAAATTTTATATCTTTAAATGGTGCTTCCAAAATATTCAGAATACTACACTGAACATGGCTTAGGTTTTCAACTGCTCTTTTGCTATCAAGCCACCTGACCCAGCTCTTCTGCAAACCTGAGTGAAAAAACGCCTTACCATCATGAACAATCAACCTGTATTGTCTTTCTAAGCAGATTTCTGTCTGCTTTTGCCTGATAATTCTTTGTGCTTCTGGAAGTAGCCCATACGGGGAACGAGAAAATACAAAGGAGTAACCATCAGCGCATGTGCCGTCTCCATTGAGCTGACGGCAGGAGTAGTGCAGCGCATATGAATCATAATCTGTTGCCATTACCCAGTGGTCATCATCTAGAAAAACCATAGAAGAATTAAGAAAACTCAGCCTCTGCTGTGCACTTCAAAAAGTATTTCATGATAGTTTTCTTGTGTGATTGATATAGGGCAGGAAAGACACCCCACTGTCATCCAGACATTGAAAAGTACATACCTTTTATAGATGCAGAATGCTCTCCAGTTTGAAAACTGATGAATGGAAAGAGCCAATTCCCATTTTTTGTTGTTTTGCTCTGTTTCAAGCTATACACTTTAACTTAGATGTTTAAGTGCAAAATATTAAGTGTTAAAATGAAAATGGACTATAGAATGGAGAAACATATTTAGAGAAACATGTATTACACATATAATGAAGGCCACTGTGTTTTGCCAAGCAACAATGGGTCTTTCTACTAAGTATTTCAAAGGAAATAAGCACATAAATGTTAAAGAAAAATAAGCTAATTTAACTCACAAGGAAGAAATCAACAAGTTACATATAATGAACATGTGCTTATGTTCTTTCTGTTTTCTGAGACACCAAGGAAGGTGACAGACAGGGCCCCTGGTGGAAAACATCCTGGGGCAAAGGACAAGATCGTTTTCTCTTCCCCCCAGGTAGAAAGGCATGCACAGCTCTGTCCTCCAAAAGAGGAAAGCCACTAGGAGGTTCAGGTGGAATGGCCCATTGTCCCCACTCACACTGCATCTGCTACCTAATTATTGGGCCACACCTGTTCAAAGCTGTCCAAAGAGGAAGCTAAGTTTTATTAACTTCCACTTTCGCAGAGGCAGATTCAGCATTTGAAAACATCCAATTAACAGAACACATCGAATTCATGCATTTAACTTTTAACATGATGACACAGATAAGGGCGGTAGCCCTTTGTACTCTTCAGTCCTTAGGAAGCTGGCATATTTAGATCCTGTTGCAGAACAACACTGAACACATGTTGACAGTTGAGGAAAAAAGTGTGGGTGGGGTAGGGGGCATAATAGCTTCTTGCAGAGAAATTGGTTATAAATTCCAGGGCAGACCTTTTGTAGAGGGGAAACAGTGACAAAAACACTGACAGATTTATTGCGATCTAAACTTTCCACAGGCAAAATAATCTGAAATGCTTAATAATAAGGTGAAAGATGAAATTCACAAATATGAGTAATTCCCCATGTTATTCAGTGGCTTGCAGTTATTCATGAAGTTATTACAGATGGAAAACCTTCATCCCATGCCTACTCAATGTAAATAGGTAACATTAATATCCCTTCATGCAGGCAGTGACTGGGCATATCCCTCAAACACCAGAACTACTCAACAAACACTGGACGACTGTCATGGCTCATTAGGGTTCCATCCAATCTTCTATTTCAATGTCCATCACAGAGTAAACATAAGGGAAGACCTCTTAGAGAGAGTTTCTGAGTTAAAATGGGGTGGACCTTTTTCAGGGGGGAGGTCTAAAGACCACATACCACTTCCTGCCTTTCATACATCCATATTCACCAAAACACAAGCACAATAAACCCTTCGTTCTTTCATCATCTATTCATAGTCTTCTATTCTCTCTCTCTCTCTCTCTCTCTCTCTCTCTCTCTCTCTCTCTCTCTCACACACACACACACACACACACACACACACACACACACATAAGAATGTATACATCCTGTTCTTCCATCCATTCATCTATTATTCTCCCCTTTTAACTGTTAAAGCAAATATTAGAATTGAGCAAGATTCCAACTGAACTTCTATCAATATTCAATCTGTTTGTAGGTTTGTGTTTTGACTGTCTTAGGGACAGCAGCACCACTACAAAGTAAACTAAAACACTACAAAATAAACTGAAAGGCAGCCCAAATTCTCCTCCATGTAGCAAGATCTGACATAAACATCAAGTCAAAAGTGACAGATGCTCTCTAAATGCATCCATGCAAGAATGGAGCCCAATATTGATATGCCTAAAATGCATATCAATGCTTGGTCTGCATATATCTATCTATGATAGATAGAGATTCCATTCTTGAATGTTCCCACCCACATCAAGTCCATGAAGACTGAACGTTAGTAGGGATAAAATTTCCAACCAAGCAATTTCCTACTATTTTACTTTTATATCTGCAGAGAGTTCTTAACACAGGGAAACATGCAGAACTAAAGCCCTTTCAATGAGGCCATTCTACCACCTTGAATGTGTAGGTCAGACCTGAATTAATGACAGGCAAGCTCTCCAATGTTTCTAGTTCAGGTTAAACCAACTACTCTGTTTATGTTTAAAGATTAGTCTTTCTGTGGCTGTAGCTTGCTTGTGAATTGGAAATTAAGAGTTATTTTGAAATGATACTGTTGCTTTGGAAGCTTGAAACAAAGAAAGGGAAAAAAAAGAGCCAGTGTGGCGTAGTGGTTAAGAGCGTGGGACTGGGACTCAGGCGATCTGGGTTCTAGTCCCCGCTCGGCCATGGAGCCAACTGGGTGACTTTGGGCCAGTCACAGACTCTCAGCCCAGCCTACCTCACAGGGTCGTTGTAGTGGGGAGAAGATGGAGGAGGAGAATGATGTAAGCTGCCTTGAGCCCTTCATAGGAAAAAGGCAGGATATAAATCAGAAAAATAAATAAATAAATAAATAAATAAAACCAACTCCTGACAGTGATATAGAGTGAATGTAGACATGATCTCAAACATAAAGTACACCATGGATCTGAAATATCAGAAGCTGCAATCCTGTACTCTAAGCTGGGAGTAAGCACCATCAAACTCATGATTTCCAAACAGATGTGTCTAGGATTGTGCTGTTAGTGCCTTGTCTACATTAGAAAAGTTGACAAATACAGACTCACTTCCTTTCTGGAGATAGGATGACACACCCCAATATTTCATTTTGAACTTGGCAGGATCTTCTGTCTCTACAAAGGTGCCAATCATGTCAGCGCACACACTCCACTCACTGAAAAGAGGAAGAGGATATATTCAGTCTTGCGGATCTGAGCAGGAGGGTGAGCTTGCCTTGAAAATGGAAGAAAAAGAATCAAACAGATAGACACCTAAGATCCTCTGAGCCAGGGCCAGCCCAAGGTATGCTGCTGCCTTGAGTAAATGGTCCGCGCTGACCCCAAGTCAAGCTGTAGAATCTACTCAAGGCTGGAGTCAAACATTTTGGGGACAGGAGTGAAGGACAAGGTAGCACCTCTCAGTTCCACCGACAGAATCTGCATGGAATTGCACTTTAGTCATCCTTCAGTACGGAGATGGGACACCATCCTCCACTTCACCTGCGGCTGACTGGCTAGTTCAGAGGGACAACCAGATCTTTCATTCAACAGAGGTGAGCACCTTTGAGGCTGCTACCAGTGCTCCTTCCACAGTGTCCAAAGTCTGCTAACTTGAAATGGCTATAGCACTCTGCCTAGTGGTAGGGCTGGCCCTAAAAGTACCAAGGGCTCTAAGTACCCAAGTTATTTTGGCACTTGAACGTTTCACAAGCACCTGTTTCCCAGCTTGGCAATAAGCATTCAATCATCATCATCATCATCATACATTTTAGAAATTAATAACTCGTTGCCCTTTCATAACACCCTTAATTCAGTTGTCTGAGAAAGCTGCTTCACCTCCTAAGGGAAGTTGCCTAAGGGTGGAGCTAGCCATGCTGTAGGGGAAACCGCAGAAACAGAAAGAGGCTAGTAGACTCACTTCAAGAGCACCACTCTGCCCCTGGCAGTTGCAGTCATATTCCCATTTTCATCAACAAAAAACTCAGCTCTCACATTGTCCTGAAGAAACAATCCTATTGGGTCTTTCTTGGCCACAGCATACCACAGTCCGCGGTACTACAAAAGGAGAAGTAAAGCTTTTATTAGGCCTGCTTAGAAAATGAGGAATGGAAACACAAGTGGAATTTGGGAATCTGTCCCCAAGTACAGTATTAGCAACAGAATTGCTACCAAATTTTAATTGCAATGAAAGTGAAGTGCAAACCAAAGGGGAGAAAGCAGTCAGGTAAAATGTCAAGGGAGGCCCTGGAATATTTTCCATAAAGGAGCTAGCATAATGCTCTGGATTCTCAGCAAATTCTGCCTAAACTGAAATGCAACACGAACTTGATAGCTCCTGCTTGAAAGAAACATTCAAGACATTCTGAGGAAAACCAACAGAATTTTGATAAAACCAGTGAAAATTCTTCTCCCAGTCATAAAAGGGAATGCTAGTCATATGCAATAGACATCCAAAATGTGTGGATGCCTTGGTTTATTTACCATACAGTCCCAATATCAAGTCTGGATAATTGGTACAATCCAAAGATTTCAGAGTAGAAGTCCCAAGACAATTGGCTTGGCTTTATGAAAATTGTAATCCAAGACCTCTAGAGGGCACCAGGTTGTGTACCCTGCCCCAGATAAACAGGCCCTTCCCCTGCGCAGACCTGAATCATATATTTCTTGAAATGTGTCTTTTTGCAATAGAAGCAGCTTGCCTGTCAGAAGTAATTTAGGGAGAACTTCTGCAGCATACTACCCCCTCTAGAGGAAAGGTTAATGATGGTGAGAAATACAGCTTTCTCTGCTCGGATTGCATTGTATTACCTGATTTTTTCAGAAATTAGGATGAAGGCATTTGGATGAGGAACACTGGGTGAGGTGTGATGTCATCAAACAAACGAAAACAGAGTCCAGTGTAGATGCTCTTCAAGCTCTCATCAACCCAAGCTACTATGGCCAATGGTAGGAATGGTGGAAATTGTAATCCAAAACATCTGGAGGACACCAGGTTGGGGAAGTCTGTGTTTGGATATCATTTGCATATGGATAGTATTGAAAGCAAGTATGTCGTGCGAGCACTCATGTCAGCATTATACCCAGTGTTAAACTCCACATGGCTTCTCTTCCCTGGCACCTTGAAGGGAGAAGACCCTTCCCCAAGTGGTGGTGCCCTCCACTATCTTAGACCACCACTCTCAGCATTCCTGATTACTGCTTATCCTGTCTGGGGCTACAGCAATCCAAAACATCTAGATGGCACCAACTTGGGCAAGGATGATCTTGAACAGTGAATAATGTTTACAAACATGAAAAACAAGCAATGTCTGGCTTTTGCAGTATATTAAGAATATAAGAAAAGTCATGCTAGATCCAAGTAAGGGTCCATCTATTCCAGCAAGGGTTCACAGAGTGGCCAACAAGAAGTCCTCTGAAAACCAGCAAGCAGGACATGAATGCAGTAGTTTACTTTCTCCCATGTTCCCCTGCAATTGATGTACATGAGCGTAGCGCCTCCAACCCTGGAGGCAGCACAAAGCCATCAGGGCTAGTAGCTATTGATAACCTTCCCTCCATGAATTTGCCCAGTCCCTTTCTAAAGCAGTCCAAATAGTTGGCATCAGTACATCTTATGGCAGCGTATTTCATGGTTTAACTGTGTGAAGCACTGTATGAAGAAGTACTTCTTTTTATCCATCCTGAATCTCTCTCCAATCAACTTCATGGGGTGACATCAGTTTCTTTTATTATGAGTGAGGAAGATAAATGTCTCCCTATCCACTTTCTTCACACCATGCATAATTCTGTGAACCTCTATCAGGTCTATTCTTGCCTTTTTCCAAAGCTAAGAATCTCAGCTTTTTAAACATTTCCTCGCAGGACAGTTGCTCCGACCTTTGACCATTTTAGTTGCCCTTTTTTGCCCATTTCTTTTTCCAGCTCTACGGTATCCTTTTTTTAAGCATGGTAATTAGACTATTCTAAGTGCAATGGAACTGTAGATTTGTATAAGGATAATATGATATTGGCAGTTTTATTTTAAATTCCCTTTTTAACTCTTTAACAATAATATGGACCTGGCCTTATCACAACAGCCATGTACTAGGCCAACAAAAATGCAACATTTCTTTCTTGGTCAATCACTGCCAGCTCAGAACCTATCAACCTTTATTTGAACTTGGGGGCTTTTTGCCCCAATATACATCACTTTATGCTTGCTTAAGTTGAAATTCACATACCTGTTCTCTAAATTAGGAGAGATCCTTTTGGAGCCTCTTGTAATCCCTTTTGTTTTAAGCCACCCACCCGCCAGCCCCATACTTTGGTATCATTAGCAATCCTGACCACTTTGCTGCTCACTTCTAATTCCAGAAAATTCATGAATAAGTTGAAAAGCACTGGCCGCAGTACAGATCTCTGTGGGAACCTACTTTTTACATCCCTTGACTGGGAGATTTTAACATTCATTTCTACTCTCTTCTTTCTTCTCACGCTAATTTTACAATGTATAAGATGAAACATTTGTTTCACAGGCCAGTGAGGCAGCCTATCAAAAAATTGGGATAGAAGTCAAAAGACTATTTCTGTATTCTTTACATAATGAACACCAGTATCATTGCTAATCTGGTCAATTAACTGATAAAGGAAAAAAATCAAATAGGCCCAAGTCTTTGTTTTGTAGCTGATATAACAACACCATTTTGATGAGTTTTCTCTTCCTCTTTTCTTTGCTCCAGCCGTGGAAAGGTTAAGAGTAGTCAGCCTAGACAGCCTTTCTTTATGCTTCTGGCTAGTCATATTTCAGGCTTATTTTTTATGTTGGTGGTGTCCAGCAGAGCTTTCAATGGCCATCAACACTTCTGATAATTCTAGCTGGGACTAGAGACTGTCAGTGTGTGTGTGCGTGTGCATGTGTATGTGTGTGGCAGGGGTGGTGGTGGTGATGGTGATGATGATGATGATGAGAGAAACATCTGGATGCCTTCTTGCCCTCTCCAAGAGCAGAAAATTAGAACCAGGTTACAATAGCAACATTCTAGGGATTGAAAGAGAAGGAAAGGGTGGGGGGTGTCAAAGCACTTACCCGGTACTTGTCAAAGTTTTGCTGGACTTTGAAGCTTTCCACTCGGCAGTCACGCTGCGCCTGGCATCTGCTGGCCAGCAAGGCCAGGGCCACCAGCCCCAGCACTGCAAGAATCCCCTTTGTGTGAATCATCATGTTCCTATGTGCCTGCAACAAATACAGAACGGCCGTCATTAGCAAAGAAAGGGAAGCATCTCCCAGCACACCCTAAAGGAAATGATGGACTACAAACTCTTTAAAACAGAGGGAGGGTCAAGCTGGAAGGGCGGTGGTGGTGATAAAATCCTTGTAAAATGACCCCTCTGTGGGATGGGGAGGCAACTGCTCCTTCCAAGCCACTATCTTCTCTCAGTAACAAGAGTCATAATCACCAGAAAGAACTCAAAGAACTGAAGAGGACTCTTGCCTGTCAGGGAGTAACATAGATCCAAAGCTGAGCTTCACTATAAATGGGGAAGGCAGGCTTTGGGTATGTGTTTTATAGCACTGGGTGAGGCGTGGGGGGAGATCTTTGCTAAGCTCAGCAGGCAAAAGATCAATATTGTTAGGGGGGAGGTGGTGAGGGGCAGGAGCTTGATCAGTTCCAGCTGCCAGTCAAGCTCTTCTCACAACAAAGTTCTTGCATAACTGTGTGTCTGGGAGGCAGAGGGAGTTGCTGTGATCTTTGATCACCACCACTGGTTTTGCAGGCAGCGTGGTGCAAACACATGATCCTCCCTGGGGTGTTTAGACCAGATTATGTTTCGCTAACTTGTATAACACTGCCTACAAGAAATGCAAGACAGAGGAGGCAAGATGGGCTTCATGCTGGGGGAGTGAGAGATGCTAGTAAACTGAGAGCTGCTAACAACCATTCCCTTCTGAGAGGAAAAAATGGTTTGTTTCTGGGGAATTTTTTTGCTGCTGTAAAAATAATTAATGTTGTTAGAGCAGAACATTATTCTGTAGTTACATCTTCCCCAATCTGTTACCCTCTAGATGACTTGGACTACAACTCCCATGATGCCCAGGCTGGCTGCACATGATGAAGATTACAATCCAAGTCATTGGCAACACTCAAGTAAGAGGGTTTGCAGAAGCCAATTCTGCATGTTGCATTTTCACATGCAGGGAAGGCAGCAAGACAGCCAGCCACTGTGGTGCCAGCTGTGACCACCAATGTACATACTAGGCTTGAGTATTAGAATGAAGGGGTCTGTACCTAAGTGTACATAACAGTTCCTCCATGTGAATTGAAATGCTGATCAGTCAGGATTCCTGCTCACGTGGAAGGGCTGTGCTATACATCCCTTAGTCTTTGTATAAAGTCCATCACACTGACACAGTATGAGCAGTTGGTGAGGAGTGCTCCCCATGACCACAGGACACCATTTGTGCAAACAGACCTATCAACTTTCCACTTCATGGTGTGTGGTGGACGTATTTTCCTTTTCCTTCACTGGAAATACCTCCAGTCAGCTGAGAATTCCTTTTTTTTTTTTTTTGAATAAGTTTTATTCTTAACAGACCCAACAAAAAAGGAACTAAAAAGTCATCAATTGTCAAAAACATCAGACCTACTGGGTCAGCCCCCCACATTTTTTCTTTTTATGTTAAACTATAAATATATTTAGATCTATGCATAGTCCCGTTTCTCTAGCCAATGATAAAAAGAGTCCCAGGTTTGATAGACGTCTGTATCTTCTTTCTCCTTCAGAGACAAAGTCAATGTGTCCATTTTGGCACAGTCCAAGATCTTTTTTAGAATCAGTTCGTCGGTAGGTGGCTCTTCACTCTTCCAATGTTGGGCAAATGCAATCCTCACCGCAGTAGTTACATGTAGAGTCAAATACATTGCTTGTTTACCAACATCATCAGGTACAATGCCTAATAAGAAAACTTCAGGTTTAAATGTTAGAGGTTTTTGTAACATTTCCTCAAGCCATTTGTGCATTTTACTCCAATACTTTTTTGCCTTATCACAGGTCCACCACATATGATAAAAAGTACCCAATTTGTGCTTACATTTCCAAAATCCATTTGACATACTTGGAAACATCTTAGCTAACCTATTTGGCGACAGATACCATCTATAAAACATTTTATCCAGGTTTTCTTTGTATGAGGTTGCTAATGTTACTTTAATATTTCTTTCCCACAGCTTTTGCCATTTCTCTAACTCAATATTATATCCAAAATTTTGTGCCCACGTTATCATAGTTTCCTTAACCTATTCATCTTCCATTCTCCTATCCAGTAAGAAATTATACAATCTTTTAATCATTTTCTCATCTGATTTAAGAATCACGTGGTCAAGTGCTGTTAACTCCTTATAAAAGCCCCACATTCTATTGTCTTTAGCATATCTTGATTGCATTTGAACCTTGTGCCACCAAGAAATATTAATTCCTTGTTCTTGTATTTCTTGATTCAATTTCAATCCTCCATCAGTATCCAAAATATCATCATATCTCACAATTGTATCAAAGTTCAGTGCATCTGGATATATAAGAGCTTCCATAGGTGAAAGCCATCTTGGTAATTTAGTATACAGTTTTGTCTTTAACTTTTCCCACACCAACATTAATGATTTCCTAATATAATGATTTAAGAAACAACCATGTACCTTACATTTTTCATACCACATATAAGCGTGCCAACCCATTTGCAAATCATGCCCTTCAAGATACAAAATTCTCTTATATCTTAAAGTTATCCATTCTTTTGGCCACATTAAAACAGAAGCTTGATAATACAACATCCAGTCAGGAAGACCAAAACCCCCATTCCCTTTAGCCTCCTGAAGCATTTTTAATTTAATCCTTGGTTTCTTCTTTTATATCTCGAGATTTGGGTATTTAAATCATCAAAGAATTTTTTGTCAATTTGGGAATTGTTTGGAATAGCAGGGCTTTTGCTCTTAGCTTCCACACACAAGAAGGACAGAATACAGAATGTTATACTTTGATCTATGCTTTGATCTATACTTTGATCTATACTTTGGACTATGATCATGGAATGGTTGTGGGTGATGTTCTCTATAAACCATAACTTAGTGTCCCCAAAATTGTCCCATTTTGTTGTCAATTTTATTGTTATATAAAAGATTCTTTACCTCTGATTCAGGCAATTTGTGTTTCCTCATGGTCAATATTTGTTCTGAAGTTTCAACATCTCCAGAAGCATTAGAGAAATTCTGTTAAATATTCTCCAGAGGTGTAATGCTGGAGAAGTGTAACAACACTGGTCAGGCTGAAACTAGATGAGTGCTCCTATCTCTATCCACAGATAGAAAAGCAACAGGGGACTGAAGATTCTGCAAACAAAAATGGTCAGGTGATAGCGGGTGGAGGAGTTTAACAAGTTCTTTCTGCCACCAAAACTCACAGCCTATGGAGGATGATTTTATGTAAAGATGGGAAAGACACATTTGCATGACAGATCTATTTTGGAGGTCACCCAGCATCTCTGTTGTTAAGGGTCTGAGCACTAGAGATGAACCTTTCAAGCTAAATCAAGTTTCAAATATTGTGACAAGTTCCAGGAAAAAATAAGGGTAAAGTACAGAGTCCATGGTATAGTTCAGACTGGAATGAATGAGACCTGGGCACCACACAGTACTTCAGGAGCAGCATTTTGGCCCCTCACTCCTCCAACTTTACAGAGAACCACTTCTTACAGAAGAAGTGACCAGACCCTCCATACAATGGGACTTATCCCCTAGATCTAGATAAGAACTTCCTTTTTAAAAAAAGAAAGAAAAAACAAACTATCCCCTGCTGATAGCAGCCCTTAACTGCAATTTGATCTGCAGACACTAACAAGCAAAATGCTTATCTCTACCTGCTGATCATTACATTCTTGTGCTTTTAGAAGCACAAGAACAAAGCCTGTTCATTTGTGGTCAGTGTCTTCATGTCCTCACAACAAGCTCAAGCTTACTACAGATGACACTTATAATCTCTCACCAGAAGGGGAAAATGAGAGCTGACCCTGCAGCACTGTTTGTTTTGACCCAATATTTTAATGGTCAAAAGGGAAAGTTAATAGTTAAACTATTAATTATTCCTAGGAAGAAACTTAAACCAGCAGGATAATGGTCATGGGGTATTGATGTGCATTTCCACAATTCTTGCAACACTGCTTGCAAAAGGATCAACTAAGGAGATAGATGAGGCAACATTGTGACAGTATCTCTTTGACCAACAAAAACAAATCCTTAAATTCATAGAAAATGTTTTAAAATGTTCAGCTTAAAGCAGAAAAAATATATCACAGAGGTAAAGATGACTTCATAGATCACCATGTTCACCCCATTTGGCAACTCAGTTC